ATTCTCACCGGATGGACATCACATCGTTTCAGGTTCAGTGGACAAGACAGTCCGTGTTGGGATGTAGCAACCGCAGGTCTTAGTACCCTCGAAGGGCACACTGGCTGGGTTCGTTCCGTCGCAGTCTCGTTGGATGGAAATCGCATAGTATCGGGCTCAGATGACAAAACGATCAGAGTATGGGATATGGAGACTACATAGGGAGGCAGTGGGCACCCTCTCCGAGGGCACACCGACTATGTTCGCTCTGTCGCGATCTCGCGAAATGGCACCATATTGTGTCTGGTTCAGATGACAAGACGATCCGGTGTGGGATATGAAGACTGGCCAGGGAGTGGGTACTCCTCTCCAAGGTCACACCGTGATGTTTCAGACCCTTCAGTCACTTCCATGTAGAACCCTGGCTCCGGATGTGCCAAAAGTCTGTAGAATCATGGCCAGCCAGTCACGGCCGGAGTATGTGGAATCAGTGTTGACTGGTGTAGATATATACATATTAGAATTACTGTAAACACAATAACTAGCCTTATGCCTACAAAATGTATAATACAGCTGGCCGGAGTATGTAGAATTAGTGTTTAGTGTTAATATATATATAAATGATTACCATCAGTGGTAGTGGCTAGCTTTATGCCTGCAAGATATAGAATTCAGCTAGCTAGTTGGCTGGCCTGATTTCACTGCAGGTAGAATCAAGCTTGCCAGTATGCAATTCTGTAACCAATGACTGACCAGCCTTGACTCCACTGTTGTAGAATCAAGAATCAAACTGGCCAGGACACAATGTTGAAACTGATAACTGGCCAGTCTTGGTTCTACATGTTGTAAAATCAAGTCAGCCAGTCACTTGTTATTAAGTTGCATACTGGCCAGATAGCCTGTACAACATGTAGAATCAAGACTGGCCAGTTATCAGTTCCAACATTGCATCCTGGCCAGTTTAATTCTACAACCGTAGAATTAAAGCTGGCCGGTTTAATCCTATAGAAGAATCAAGCCTGGCTAATTATTGGTTTGGGATTTCTATATGAGTACTAGTCATTAGTTACAGAATGTCATACTGGCCAGTTATCAGTTTTAATATTGCATCCTGGCCAGTTTGATTGTACAATAGTAGAATCAAGGCTGGCCAGTTATCAGTTTTAATATTGCATCCTGGCCAGTTTGATTTTACACCAGTAGAAACAAGGCTGGCCAGTTATCAGTTCCAACATTGCATCCTGGCCAGTTTGATTTTACACCAGTAGAAACAAGGCTGGCCAGTTATCAGTTCCAACATTGCATCCTGGCCGGTTTAATTTTACACCAGTAGAATCAAGGCTGGCCAGTTATCAGTTCCAACATTGCATCCTGGCCGGTTTGATTTTACACCAGTAGAATCAAGGCTGGCCAGTTATCAGTTCCAACATTGCATCCCGGCCGGTTTAATTCTACAACATGTAGAATCAAGGCTGGCCAGTTATTAGTTTTAATATTGCTCGGTTTAATTGTACAATAGTAGAATCAAGACTAGCTAATTATTGTTTTGTAATTTCTATACTAGTCATTAGTTACAGAATTTCATACTGGCCAGATAGCTTGTACAACATGTAGAATCAAGACTGGCCAGTCATCAGTTTAATATTGCATCCTGGCCGGTTTAATTGTACAATAGTACAAGAATCAAGACTGGCCGGTTTTCAATCACAACATTGCATTCCGGCCGGTTTGATTTTACAACAGTAGAATCAAGACTGGCTGGTTTTCAATTCCAACATTGCATCCCGGCCGGTTTAATTCTACAACATGTAGAATCAAGACTGGCCAGTTATTAGTTTAATATTGCTCGGTTTAATTGTACAATAGTAGAATCAAGGCTAACCAGTTATTGGTATCAAAATTACATGGACTGCATAGGGTAGATATAAGCTAGTTATATACTCTTATAAGGGCCAGCCATGTACATACATGCTGTAGGAACCATCTGGCCAGTCCATATCTTAAATACAATTATCTCGGCCAGCTGTGGACTACATAGAGTGGAGCTAGTGCTAGCTAAGCTACCTTGTCATTCATTAGCATTGAGAATTATCCTGTCATATTTTTCCTAGCAAAGACAGTATACCAGATCAAAGTATAAATTGACATCCATTGAAATTTTTCTCTGCCTCCTCAACAAATCTTCCCCACATCAAGACCTGCTGATAAGCATAGGCTTGATGACCAGGTCTGGTGGCTTGGCCACCCCTTCTCTCCCATTCATTCTGGTGGTACTTGAACCAGTTTATGGTCCAACCCATTTCATGTCTTACCAGCCTTAATTCCTCTTGCCATCTATTCCATCTAGCCTTAGCCTTCAACCAGTTCACCCTGTAGACTAGATCGGTTGGAGCTTTAGTGACATATCATAGAGATAAAGATTTTTTCTTACATTATCTATCCAGGCATCGTCTTGATCTTGGCTTGCATTATTTTCCCCTCCAAAACAAGCCAGCCTGTCTGACCCTTGTCCAAATCTATTTTCTTCTGCCACCTCTTTGTCTATACTGAGCTCTGTAGGCGATATTGGCTGATAAAGACTCCCCAAGGTGGCTTTGTCCATGCCTAGACCTTCCATTGCTGACCTTGCCCTCTGATAGCTTCTTACACACTTGTCAATTTTGAGCTGACAGCGTTGAGCTTCTTGCTTTGACCTAGTCCCAGCCCATGTAGAATTAGCACTTCGAAAATACTGACGATAGATGATGGCCTTATGACCAAGGGCCATTCGAAGCTTTTCGAGGCAGTCATTGGCTTGGCCCTTTCGAAGTTCTAATTCTTCAGCTTGGAGGGGACCCAGTCCGAGAGCCAATACATCCTGGTAGGGCACTGATGATGGCATCCAGATACCATCTCTTCAGCCAAGATTTCTTCGTCAATATACTCTGAGATCTCTTCATCTGAGACCCTCTCCCCAACCATTTTCATCATGACCTGCATAGCAGAATCTAGGATCGTCGGAATGCCACTGTTGCAGTTCCAAGATCCATACCAGCAGTCATGGCATCAGCTGTTTCATGAAATTTAGCTATCCTAGCTGTCAATCTCTGTCGCTTCTCTTCTATAGAAACTTTCTGTCCTGGGGTTGCATCAGTAGGAAGTTGTCGAATATCTGCCCTTAGTCCATCCCTAAAATAGTACTATGTCAAACGGTTTCTCTATTTTTATTGGTTACATACTGTAAATCCTCCAGATTGATGCCAGTAATGAGCCAAGAGACTGTCCCAGGTTTGCTAGTGTCGGTATTCTCAGACTCAGTTAATTTGAGTCTAATCTCTGCCATAGTTGGAGCTAGATACAAATACTGATCAGATGTCTATACAAGAATAGCAGCCTCACAACTAGACAGAGTTCACTTACCTTTGTTCATCTGCAACTGATAGATGTCAAGATACTCTCCACATTGTTCCATGGCCTTTTTCTCATCGATCTTCCATATCGAAATCTTCTCAGGGTCCAGAGACAGAGTGAGCTCGTCAAAGGGAGACTTTGTGTCATCAACACCTTTGAGAGCCCGTTTGTACTTTTTCAAGAGAGTCTTCACTGGAAGCTCAATGTCAAGCTTGTTCAATGCAAAATTTGGAGGGCTTACTTATTCCCACTATTTTTTTCCAGTTTGAGTCTCGCATATGATCATCAAGAACTTCTTGACGGTGAGCCTGACTCATTGACCGAGCAGTTGGGGAGATCTTATTGAATGGTGCCCACAGAGTCTCCAAAATCTCCCCATCAACATGTCCAGCCCCTTGAATAAAGTTGAGGCTGTACCTTGCAAAGCAAGCTAATTTGTGAGCGCTAAGATGGAATTTTCCAACTGCTGGAACGATGTGCATATTTTCAGGTACAGACAAGCCCTTGCTCTGGGCTACTCTCTGTAGAAAATTAATGCTCCACTGACACCCCACATCATAAATGATGAGGGAAGAGTCTATACCAGCTGAATGATAATTCAATGCATTGCATATTGAGTAGTCGATATTCATGTGTCTAAAAATTACCTGAGCTTGCATAACATGTTGATTTGGAGGACATACACAGACCTTTCGCCCTTCTGAAAATCAACTATACTATGAGGAACAAAGCATCCATGTCGAGCACAAGCAGTTGCTCCTACACCTGTAGCTCGAAGATTGCTCCTGCTGATATTGGCCTGCATTTACTGCATGATGATTGCTGCAAGAAGACCGCTACAAAGATAGTGAAGCATGAACGAAAAGTGGTTGTCATGAGCCAACTCACTCTTTACTTTCTACAGCCGATGACAGATGAGTCTGGTATTCTTGATCTTTCACCATATACCCAAGCCCGTCTGACAAACTAATGTCCAACTGTGGTTTTCTCATTACCATATGTTGAGCAGTGAAGTTCCCGTCTACCACATATCTTTGTGAAACAAGCCAACTGTACAAACAGGTAAGCATAAGGTTAAAAATGTGCAAAAAAGAAAAGTAGAAGTCTCTCTCCGGACCAACTCTCTGGCTGGCATGTCTTTGAGTGACATCTATGCACCTCAGTTTAACCGGCCAGCATGGTTATGCATGCTATCTGTGTCAAGCTAGCAAGCCAATTTAATGTGCCGGCCGGCCTGGTTTTACATCCAGTCTATGCCATGCTGGCCAGCTTGATTAGAACATAAGTCAGTCCGGCCGGAGCTCTCGTACACTATGCAGTGTAGGGCTAGCCAGTGAGTATGATATTCTCAAGTGTGGTAGAGAAATTGAGTCGCCTCTCCTTAGAATGAGATGGATAAATGACTTGCCTTTCATATCTGGCTTGCCAGTCAGGAGGTAGGTTAATCCCAGGCTGTGGACAAGCAGGGCAAAACCAAGCCAGATCACCCTTGTCCGGTTTCTGCTCATCATTATGGGCAAAGCCAAACCATTTTCGACTCATCAAGTCTCTCCACAGTCGAGACACTCTCATAAGTTCTCGATATCGATTCTAGAAAACAAATTGGTACTGTTAGTTTAACTTTCACCAAGAAGACTTATAAGACTTACAGGAACAGTATCTGGGAAACAGTTATTGGTCATTCGACGGATTTTTTCAAAGAAGCTGGATGCTGAAGTCTTGCACTCCAGTGCATCAATTAGAAAATGATTGAGGACATCAAAAGTAAAGGCAGTCTGTGGTCGAGTGGTACTGGCTGGAAATAATTTAGCTTTCAGCAATTGCAAATGCTGCTGACAATCGACCCCAGGACAGCTGCACCAGACAACGTTGTGCAAAAACACTCCAGTGGAATGTACAATGGTCAACTTGGTTGGTATAGTTGAACCATGAACTGTCTCCATTGGTGAAAAATTGGCCTCTGCGTCCATCGGAATATTCTCCCATGCATGCATGTCGTCAGAAAATGGACATGGTTGTCCCCCATGGCCCATATACCAGATAAAACCCAATTCTTCAAGTGATGTGTCGTTGAAGCATTTCCCAGTCCACTCTTGAACCTTGTGGAAGGGCAAAAACTGGTGAGCATTGACAATGCAAGAACGACAGAATGTCTGATCTCCACTGCAAGTCAAACAGCGGAATTTCCCTTCACCAATCTGACAAGACTGGCACTGGGATACATCGGAGGGTTTCTCCAAGTCAAGGAGAATATCCAAGTACAAGTCTCGGAAAGGCAGATATTCTTGGATGAAGTCATTTTGTGTCTGGTCGTAATAATCTCTATTTAGTACATCATTAAAAGACACTGAATCACTATGCTTGCCTTGGTTTTTCTTTGTGAGTTCTCTACATAGGAAACAAAGTCACCAAGGGTTTGTCTATCAAAATCTTCATGACTGTTTTGCAACCCTTGAGTGTCTTCTCTAATACGTTTACGAGGGCTGGAGGATGGAGATGGTGTTGGGGCAGTGTCATAAAGGCTATCAGCGCATGATTCCACCCAGGTTGGCTTCCTTCTCTTTCCAATGACTTGTTTATGAGACACATAGGCAACATCAAGGTCCTTGCCTTTAGACAAACGACCTCTTCCTTGGAAGGAAAATGTAGCTGCCTTGAGTCGAGTTTTTTTCTTGGGAGACATAGGGTTACGTGTGGGGGGAAAAATTGATATTATCAACATTCTATTTTTGATAGTTGAAACCATTCATAGGAATCACTAGATCACATCAACTAATCTAGTAGGTATACTGTCAAACACTTGATTTGTCCCATTCCACCCCTCCTCCTCCAAGAACCACTCCTTTCTTATCATCTACTTGTCACAACAAATAACTATCCTGCTGCCCCACCATCTGCAAAAAATAGGCCTGTGTTGGAAAGGGGGGTCTGGATACCCCGCATCTAGAGTGGATTTTATCCCTCATAAAATGGGCAATAACGAGCCTTTCTCCCGGACCCCATGGACCAATAGAATGTTGTAAAACCTTCCCGGAAATGAAGACCATTGTCCCAGGGTAATAATCCAGTTCGGCCCCAACATCTGCTAATGTCAACTTAGCCTCATGGCCACTGCCTAAACTAATCAGAAGATCAAAAAGAGAAGGTGCGCCACCAGAATCTCTGTGTGATAAAGTTGTACGATTTGCAATTATTTCCAATCCTGAGAAGATCGAGGGCCAATCACAGATGGGTGGTGATGTTCTATCAGAACCTTGAAGTTCCTCAATAATACGAGTGATTGCCAAGGTGCCTGCTTCGAATAGATCTGGAGCCGATACAGCGGTAATGGCATTCCAGAAAGATTCAGTAGCTGATAAAGCAGCTAGCCACTCTTGGACTTCCACAGACTTATAGGAAGCCGAGGTAACCATTGGGTCTTCCAGTCTCTGCAAATGAAATCAAACAAAGTCAAAAGTAGCTAAACAACCACTAAATTTGGCCTATACCTCGTGTCTTTGCATAAAATATGCTGGTGATACTGTGACTCTGCCTGCTCCAAATTCTCCACCCCCCTCTGGGACAACAAAGCCTTGAGATCGCCAAGACTGTTGGGTGGAGGACGTAATTGTTTCAAGAAGTAAAGTCCTGTAAACCCTTAGTGGCTGAGTTCACATATTCCTAATTTAATTTATCAATTGATGAGGGGAATTCCCAAGGAAGAATGAACATACAACCCGAGAAGAAGACAGAATATTTGGCAAGTAAATTGTTAAAATTTTACCTTGCCTGTCCACAATAGTAGCTGGTACTGAAATTTTACCGATCATAGCTGCAGAAAAGTACTTTGGTAGCTGATTGGTATTAGCGAGGGGACCATCAGATTTAGGTGTAGAGACTTTGGCCATTTCGGCAAATCTGTCAACATCCCAATCCACATAATCTGCAAATGATGTGAATTTAAAACCAGGTGATATCTTGCAGAGTGAAACAACTCACAAGGATTTACCATTGCATGGGCAACTGTCAGTGCAGCTCGATTGATCTCATATTCTGAGATTGACGCAGAAGCATGGAAGTTGACATCACGTGTTGCTAAGCAACTGTCTAGCTCATGTCCAATTCTTAATCTTAAGTGAGACCATTTAATAGAGCGGATCAAATAAGGCCCTAAATATAACCTCTCACCTTGCTTTGTGTACAAGGTGAGTTTGCAATATCCCCCCTCTGAAGATCCCTGTTGCTGATGATTTTCCCATAATTTCCTTGATCCTTGTGGTCAGAGCTGCTCTCAGCTTGATTGATTGACTCATTTGTTGGTCCATGGTGAGCAAGGAAAATTTTCAACCAGCTCGTTCGGATCAAGACTCAATTTAACTTATATGAAATGATTCCGAAAAAATTGTCCCACGATCAAATTTGGATATATGAATGGAATCTACTGATGGAAGACTGATTAAATGAAGTCTTGCCCAGATTGTGACATAATTAGTACTGTAATAACTCGCTCAGATGCTGGAAGAGTGAAGACTAATATTGGCAGACTACCACAGAAGAATGAATGATATTCTGAATCTGGGACTACACTGTGGGATCCCTGTCTCAAATAACAGGAGACACTTCCAGCTGGAGTTCAACGCCTTGAGAGACAGCAAGGACTCACTTATTAAGAATGCAATCACAAAAACAGTAGTGTATAATAGTAAATTGGCATCCGGAGGACTACCAGGACAAGTAGCAATGACGCCATATGATACAAACTGCCCTGCACCATCAGAAGGCTGACTCTTCCCTTCTGACCATGGAGGGGAGATACCTCTGAGGTTACCTCTGAGGCATATACTGGCTAGCCCGCCCTCAAAACTGTTCGTGTTAAGAGTTCTGCCTCAGAGGTAATACTTCGTTAGCTACACCTATACTGTAGGGTATTGAAAATGTTTTCTTTGTTAACCGAAGAAAACATTCTCAATACCCTACAGTATAGGTGTAGCTAACTAAGTATTACCTCTGAGGCAGAACTCTTAACACGAACAGTTTTGAGGGCGGGCTAGCCTCTAAGCGGCCTGTAGGGTATTGAGAATGTCCGTCAGTCCAAAATATGCTAGCAGCCCAGGCAGATGGTGACAATGACGCCATATGATGACTCCCCTCTATGGTCAGAAGGCAATTTCAAAGAAGAATCAACCTTCTGACCGGGAAGGGAAGTTTGTATCATATGGCGTCATGGCTACTTGTCCTAGTGTTCTGCCACCATCTGCCTATGCCAATAGTATATTTTGACTGGCAGACAATAATCAATGATAGCGTCCTTCAGCATGTCAATGGTGAGCCGCATCAAGGCAGAATTGAGATCTACATAACACATTATCTATCTAAGACATGTAGTAGATAATAGTTGCTTTGGTCTGTGCAGCGTTTGATTATTATACACTACTGTGCTTTTGCGCTTGCTTTCTTAATAAGGCTCTTTGCTAATATACACACGGTAACGTGACCTTTTCAGCCGGCAGCAAATAAAGTGCATCCATCAACATACATTTTCAAATACAAAGTACGAGTGACAATAAATTTTACTACAAGTAAGCAAACAAATAAAGTAACAAATACAAAAGGGGAGGCGAGACTTCAATAAGGGGGCCCTCCTCACCAAAGCCTCAACACTCCAGGTGAAAATGTATGTAGCAAATATATATATAATACAATACAAATTTGTCCTGTAGAAACGTTAGACCGAAATTTAAGACAAGATTAACACTTAACTAGAGAGCACTTGCCACACAAAAGTACCGGCAGGTTCAGCAGTCTAGAGAACAAAACAGATCAGTTAAGGTCATCAGGAATTGAGCGCTTACCACCATTAAAAAGTTGGAGCAGGCTATTAAAAAGTCGGAGCAGGAGCCACTGACAAGTGGCATGCACTGCGCTACCGCCAATTTCAAGAAGCAGGAGCCACTGACAAGTGGCATGCACTGCGCAACCCCCAGTTCCTATAAGCAGGAGCCACTAACAAGTGGCATGCACTGCGCTACCGCCAATTTCAAGAAGCAGGAGCCACTGACAAGTGGCATGCACTGCGCCCCCCAGTTCCTATAAGCAGGAGCCACTGACAAGTGGCATGCACTGCACAACCCCCAGTTCCAATAAGCAGAATACTAAATAGAACAGACATTAGCAAACGGACGCGAGAGAAGAAGGACTTACGTTTAAGGAACTGGAAGGCGCTCAAAGGGAGGAGTGGCTCTAACTGCGCCATCCAAAGTCCCGAAATTCGTAAGTATAATACTAAATAGAACAAACGTGAGCAAACGGACATGAGAGAGGAAGGACTTACGTTGGGAACTGGAGGGCGCTCAAAGGGAGGAGTGGCTCTAACTGCCATCCAAAGTCCCGAAATTCGTAAGTATAATCCTAAATAGAACAAACGTTAGCAAGCGGACGCGGGAAAAGAAGGACTTACGTTGGGAACTGGAGGGCGCTCAAAGGGAGGAGTGGCTCTAACTGCCATCCAAAGTCCCGAAATTCGTAAGTATAATCCTAAATAGAACAAATGTTAGCAAGCAGACACGGGAAAAGAAGGACTTACATTAGGGAACTGCCAGGAGGGCGCTCAAAGGGAGGAGTGGCTGTCACTGTGCCATCCAAAGTCTCCAAAATCCTAAGTACAACAGACATTAGCAAGCGGGTGTGAGCAATTAAGTACTTACCTTGAGAAACCTCAAGGGAAAGAGAGTATATGTAAATGAAAACAGTTAGTAAGTAGGCGCACCACCAAAGTTGAACTTACTATGTTTGAAGGGCGACTGTAGGGTAGTACCTTTGAATTCTTGCAGCTGCAGTCTGCAAGAACCCAAAGGAGTACACCGGAAGTCGCCCTGAAGTAACGGCACTGGCAGAAATAAAGGATGAAGGAGAATGATGAAGGTAAGACGAAAGAAGAGATTGAACCGTGAGAACTGATTGTTGTTGTTCATATTCACGTGTCAGTTTGTTATTGTTTGTAAATAGTCACGTGATTATCAACAATGAACTCAACAGCGTCATAATATTGGCTAATCCACAATTCAACGCGTCGCGTGTCATTTGTGGATTTTTGACACGCGACGCGTTGAATTGTGGATTAGCCAATATTATGACGCTGTTGAGTTCATTGTTGATAATCACGTGACTATTTGGATCTGTTTGTCACAATCAACCAACGTTCAAACTTGTTCATTTCTTTCTAAGTACATTCAGCCGGCACTCTCCTCTCTTTGCATCTGTTTAAACTACATAACTGTAAGTGCTATTTGCCGTGTCATCTACTAATTTGAATATATCTATAATAGTCTCTCTTCACCATGGTGAAGTCTAAACAAACCTGCAAGAAGTCCACCGGTGGCACCGCAGCCACGAATTGCCTTGTCGTTGCCAGGCATCTACTGAGCGGTCACTGCGCCGGGTGAGCTGAATGTGAGAGAGCCGTCTGAACACAACGAGGTAAGTGATTAGTTACCTACTATTTGCACTAACACGCGTCTTTATTTGCAGTTTTGTCTCATCTGCAGAGACGGTTCTGTAGGGGAAGATTGCCTCTTCCTCTGCAGCACCTGTCCGCGGGTGATGTGTTCAAACTGCATGAACATCCCGCCTGCCAGTGCACACGCGGTGCAGGCCGATGACGTCACGTTCGTCTGCATATCTTGCCATGTTGGCATGGAACGACACGGGCGCGCATCTCAGTCGCCCTATTTTGTAAGTTTTTTCGTTTATTTCATGCTAACTAACATTCACTTCATTTTATAGGGTTTTTACAGGAAGGGGCAACCGCTCCTTCCTTCATTCCTCCAAATTCGTGCTACGTTGGAGGTTTCACTCCATTCCCAACTGTCTTCGGCACCCACGCTCATGCTCCATCTCGTCCTCGTCGACCACGACGTCACCGGCGGCTGTTTCGAACTGGCCTCCGAATTCCTTCGGCCATACTTCCCCAGCGGAGGGTTTGAATTTCGGTCCATCGTGTTCGACATCGGCAATGCCTCAAAGATCGACGAGTACCGGTTGCAGGCGACTGCCATCATCCAGTCGCTGATGAGCTCCAACTGGGCTCGTGTCGTCGTCGCCATCACTAACCACACCGACAACGAGCATGGAGATCCATTTATTGGGTACGAGGGCAACAAGAAGTCATACGTTTCGGCACGCGTTCACTCTGTAAGTGGCATTTTTTTGACTAACATTGTATTTGCTCATTTGACACCAAAGGTTCTCGATGTTCTGCTTTCACCTTGGCATCCCCTGATTCATGGTGCCGCGGAATCATACTTATGGCTGTTTTCGTGTGGCGCGCTCATCAACAACGTCACTTCCTTTTCAGGCTTGCAACAGGCGGTCATAGAGTAAGTCCATTTGATCTTATCTTTGCAAATACTAACTAACCCTAACAGTCATCGCATCACAGCCACTATTGGCTTTAATGCTGTTCGTTTTCAGCCGAGTTTCGCCACCCACCTTTTGCTCGCATTCGCGGAGCTGGTCATCATCGAGTGTTTGCCCATTCACATCGTCTTCCCTGACATGTTGGGCCAGTCCTACAAACTTGGGCGCCACACTGACGTGTTCTTGCTGATGCCTGACAACTCAGGTTCGTTGGCCGTTACCAAGTTCGCCTGGACGCATTCCCAACTTCGCCCCTGGGGTCAGTACCTGCCGGTCCAGTGCCCACAGTGTGGGTGGAGTAACGCCTGGTGTTCTGTCAACATGCACAAAGATTACATCTTTGAATGCAAGAATGGCCAATGTAGGAAAAAGTATGTATTCTCACAACCACCTCATTCCAGGATCCTTTTGCCAGGCAAAAGACCTGGCTCCTGCTGGATTTCGGTTGTCTTGAGGCCCATGCCTAGTGTCCCTGATGAGGATGAGGATTAGGATACAATTATTTTGTCTTAGCTTTTTCGTACATCCCTTCATGTTTCATTTTTCTTCATCTTACTTGATTAGATACCCTCACCGCTCAATGGAAGTATAACGTGTTTTGGATCTTTTTACCTGATGTGAATTTGTCTATTATCTACACTGTCTAACTCCACTCAATGGAAGTATAATGTGCCTTTAATCTTGTTACTTGATGTGAATTTGACCGTCTCAATATATCCAATTTGATAATTGATTCAAGATAAAAATTGCAGGTAGGCTGGTACAGGCGGTAGGAGGGTGGCTAGCCGAAATTAATTTGAACACCCATGTTTATCAACAATAACGTGTGACTTTTATGAAAAGTCACACGTTATTGTTGATAAACATGGGTGTTCAAATTAATTTCGGCTAGCCACCCTCCTACCGCCTGTACCAGCCTACCTGCAATTTTTATCTTGAATCAATTACGATGTCTACCGACTGGTCTATTGCCTTTAAGCCAATTCTCGACCTTCACTCTAAGGCCATTTTTGCTGCAGGTTCCTCATCTGTTGGAAAGCCTGTGGTGAGGAAGATTCGGAGGGCCATACTAGCTGCTCAAGACGAGCAAGAGGAACCCATTGCCTTGCCTACTTCCTTGAAAAAGGTCACAAAATTCTTATACTGTACATGTATTTAGTTGTCTGATGATATACATAAATGTTACCTACAGGCAATAAAAGAATACTATGCCAAAAGTCTCAAAGACAAGGAAGAGGCAGACGAACGTGAGGCAGCGAGTCGCCCAAGAGAACCATCTTTCTATAAGAAACCCCTGTCTGAGTGGGACGTAGCACAGAAATTATTTAAGCAGGAGATCGACTCATATGACAAGGCCCAACAACAGAGTAAAGGCTTGGAGTATTCAATCAAGTACCGCACTGGGAATGCCAGGGAGTGGTTCAACAACATGACACCTTCACAACAGCAGGAGGTCAAGTTTGCCATGAAGAAATGGAATGAGGAGGGGGCGCCAGAAGAAACTCAGGCAATGTAAGTTTTACTTCAAATCTACAGTTATTCCAGTCTAACACTTTGGCTTGAGATATCGTAAGAATAACCTCAAGAAAACTCTGGAAGATTTTGCAGAGCAAATTCAGCGCACCATTGTCATATCCCGTGTTCTGGGTCCGGACCTATCACACTCATCATTTCCGGATTTCCGGATCCGGCCGACTTCTATGTATTGTCCGGATCCGACCCGCGTCTAACTTCCGTGCCTTATCCCTTTGGTATTTCCCTTATCAGTTAGTACACTTTATTTTCCGTCCCTTATTCATTTCCGTCTTCATTTTACTAAGTTCCGATAAACTAGTGATAGTCGTCCCATATGTTTTTCCATAGCTTTACATAGCCTCGCACTGCACTCACTGTTCTCCGTTATGTCCTCAGTAGTATATAAACCCTGTACAGTCTCTGTAGTTTCCTCAGTTCAAATATCATCTTAGACTCTGCTCATTACCTCCTCCGTCCGACTTGAGTTATCCTCTCGTCGACCTCCGCTCGTCTTAGGATTGATTCCTATAGACTTGTCACCTCCGCCTCTACCTTTGGTAGTCCTCCGCTGTTTCCTTTCTAGTTCGGACTTCGTCCGGATTAGTCTTATCTCTTGTTCCCAAACGTCCGCCGGAATTCCCGTGCATCGGACATCGCCCAACGCCCTCCGGACATCGTCCGGTAACCTTCGGACATTGTTCGACAGCCTTCAGAAGTTAGGGGCACGTACTCGGGTAAGGGGCACAGCGCACGAGCTGAAGCCAAGCCCTTCGGATCCGACCCTTGAGCACATTCTTAACAACCATGGGTTGTTGCATAGTAATGCTTGTTAGTCATAAGAAAAAAGCTAGTCAGACATTGTCCATCAGTCTGTAAGTCATCAAATCAACATGGAAATCTCAAGACTAACTAAACTACTATAGACACGAAACTACGCCTCAGAATGCCAAGAAAATTTTTTCTGTGAGCTCGAGTGGTATCAAGGAGTGGGCTGCAAATGGATTTGAATCCTTCGGAGAATGGTCTAAGACTGAATTTTGTATGTGTTTCATTTGATTTTAAATATCATGCTCACTGACTATTAAATTGATAGACCCTTCAGAGGATTCAGACCATGTGGTGTAGAGACTGACATCTCTATGGCCTCGTAGAGGTCTAATTTCCGATGCATGTTGAATGCTAATCATTATCTGAATCATTCCCTATCATATCCGACTCAATACGCACCAAACCCGAAAACATCGGACATCGGACATCGCATCAGACTATCGGACTTCACTTGTACTCGTCCTACCTATGTCCTGCCTCATTGCGCTAGCCCCCACTAGGTGCGTAGTTACTTGTTTTCCCATCGCTAACATTGTAGACCACATTATTACATGTCTGCAGCACCTCATGTCTTATTACATAGGACATCGGATCCGAAAATATTGCGCTACTACTTTCGCCTATAGGGTTCCGGACTTCTACGTATCTACATAAATACTGGACTCCCCATAGCATTACCATCATCCAAGTAGAGGGGAGCAGTTCCCCGACGCTTAGTGGTCAAACCCGATATTCGTAGTTCTTAGTTGATATTGCGAATATCATCGCTCTTTTCATTATCCGTATCAGTCATTGTTATTATTGCGCACACCGCTCGCTCTTCCGATGCTTGCTATAGCGTTACTATTAGTTTCCGACACCCCGAACCCGATGTAGAAACAACAATACTGAGAGGAACAAATGAATGCTCCAAACTGTATCTATAATGTTGTGAGGTCGCGCGTTGCCTAGTCTGCTATTCTTGAGAAGACAAGTACGTTCGACCCTAAAGGGGAAGCGAGTGCAGCAAGGTTCTAGGAGTAGGCGCTGAAGGCGCTACTGGTCAGCCAATGCGAAGTGCGAGAAAGCGCGCAGGTGCGCGCGAGGCGCGGGAAAGCGAAGGTACGCGCGAGGCGCGGGAAGCGCGCGTGAGCGGAGACAAGTGAGAGTAAGTGTGAGTTTGCTTAAGTGGTGATTAGATGAATAACAAGAGATACGAGCGCGAGGTGTCAAAGAATAGATTGCAACTATATTCTCTAGGTGGTAAGTGGGTAAGTGGGAGGTAGAGTCTAAGTTGGAAAAGTTCCCTAATAGTATGTAATGCTGGCGCTTATATACGGCGCCTAAGCGCTGTCACGCGGAGCCGAAGCGCTACCGAGTAAGGTATGTAAAGATATATGTATGTAAGTAAGGGTCCATGATATAAATAAAGGTGGAATGATATGTAAATAAGGGAGATGGAAATACACGCACTAGAGAGCTTGGTGGACAGTGGATGGATGCTTCCGGAAAGCTGGCGCTATAGGGCGACCAAGCGCGGGAAAGCGCGCGCACGTATACATCGTAAAGCGCGGGAATGGTGCGCGCATGGCGCGCGTTGCGCTCCCTAGTGAATACTGCCATATCACACCATGAGAGGCATGAGTCTCTACACCGAACCCGATAACCCGAAACCCCGAAAACATCGGACCCAACGCTTTTGCATCGGACATCGTAATTATACCTTTGGACATTGTTTCCCGTGCTCGGACTATTGACCCCACATCACTCACTTACCCCCAAGACTATTCCCAGACTGCAGACCCCTGGGTCGAACGCACTTGTCAGGCAAGTATAGCAGACTAGGCAGTGCAAAGACCACAACACAAATATAGATACAGTCTGGAGCTTCATTAGTTCCTCTCAGTATTGTTGTTTCTACAGCGGCTTCAGACTGTGAGGATGGACCTGTCTTACCTGAAATCATAGTAGATGATGAGGGGTATGCAAACTTCCTCTTCGTGATGGTATTGGCCTCAAGGGCCAACACGAATTGATTAGAAGTATCTTTCATACTTCATACAGTAAGATCTAACATCTTCAATATGTGCATGACATTTGATTGACTCAATGGTTTGTAGAAGTCTGCACAGGTGGCTCTAGACCTGTACCTTGGGGCGTGATAACTGCCAGCCCGTCCAATTATTTGGAACCTGGTTCAGTTCCCACAGGATTTGTGGTCAAAGACCCTTCTCATATGAAGACAGAGGAGGTAAATCGTCTATGGATGCATTGGGAACGATGTTCTGCTACAAATCAGAAGCTAGTCGTCTTTATCAAGGCCAAGGATGCTGATATTCGGGTCACTGGGAAGTCCAAGACGAAAGTAGTGAGCACCCTAGACTTAGATGAAGAAGATCAAGGCCAGCCAGCTCCATTTGCCTCTCATTTCACAGAACGTACAATACAGCCGGCCACTCATGAGACAACACCAGATGATGTTGCCATCAATGACCGATACACATTTTTAGAAACCCTCAGTAAGAATGAAAACTACTTGGAGCTTGTGGACGCCACTAGGGACCTGGCAATATTAGCCAAACAGAATGTTAGTGTCACTTGGTGCTGTTTTCAATTTTATGGCTTATATGTCAACAGCCAATTTCAGAGCGACACCAAGATTTGCCTACCTGGGCTGACTGGTCTTGGAATGAAAATTATCTTCCCGAGGACATTCACACCTCATATGCGACATTGATGGCCAGCTTAAACGAGCTACAGACCTGTCCAATCTCAGGGCTATCATCGGCAATGCCAGTAGTACTAGGAATTGGGCTCCTCTATAGGGAGTCTAAGTGTGTGATAGAGTATGAGGAAGACGAGGCTGATCCCAATACCTCTTTCTACCTACCTCATTCTGCTATTAATCTACAGTTCTTGGTCGCTCTGGATGAGGCTGTCTGGGAAGTCTTATTCTCAGTCGTTGGTCAGATTGAGAGGCTGAACAAAGAGAGACTCAGTGACGAGGTTGAGGATGAGGGAGATGAGGATGGTGGTAGAGAAGGAAAGGCATGAGGTTGAGGAGAAGGATGTTGAGTCAGAGGAGAATGTAGTTGGGGGAGAAGAACAGCAGGAGCAGGAGGTTGAAGAGGTGGTGCAGAAAGGGAGAAAGAGAAAAATTAACCATGCTTCATCAAGTAAGTCCAAGAAGCCTAGGACTGAGCCTGTGGTTGGTAGATCAGGTAGAGCGAGGCAACCCTCTAAGAGATCCAGAAGATATGATCTTGTATCCTCTATTGTCTTCATTGCTAGTCAATCTTGTACAGTAATTACA